CGTGGTTGAATCAATAAAGGAAATGTGGTCTATACATACATGGACTGTGTACACTCCAGGCTTTGAAAGGAAGAAAGTCGGGTCATTAGCAACAGCAAGGTTGAGTGGAGAATAGTACGTTGAGTGAGATAAGCCAGGCACAGAAAGGATTGTCATAGGATTGCACAGATATGTAGGATCGTAGTAGAGAGTAGAATGGTGGTTTTACCAGAGGCTGGGAAGGGTGGAAAAGGAAAATAGAAAGGTATTGATCAAGGGGTACAAAGTTTCAATTTTAAAATCTGTCGCATAACAGGGTGACAAGAGTCAACAGAAATGTATTGTACTTTTACAACTTAACAAGTTTTCAGAAATGAGCTTCTACTCTAACCTCACACCATACATAAAATGAACTCTAAATGTATCATTAACATAAACATAAAAACCAACTCTAATGAAAGAACTGTAATAAACTTCTAGAGAAAACTACAGACAAAAAAATAACCACTACTATCTTGGGTAGGCAGCAATTACTTAGGACCAGAAAGCTACAAACCCCATCAGAAAAATAAGGCTAAATTAGACCTTATTAAAAATTAAAATCTCTGCTTTTCAAAATATACTGCTGAGAAAATGAAAAGGTAAGACAAAGACTAAGAAAAATATTTGCTGTACATATATCTGGCAAAGATTTTGAATCTAGATTATACAAAGAATTTTTACAACCCAAAAAGACAAAGATTTGAAGACGCTTCACAAAATAAGACTCATGAATGGCCAAAATCACACCAAAAGATGCGTACTTATATCAGTCATCAGGATATGCAAATGCAAACCTCACCGAGATATCACTATCAAACAGAATGACTTAAAACATGCTGAAGTAACCAAATTTCAACCAGGATGAAGAACTGGAGTTCATATATTGTTAGTAGAAATACAAAATAATACAATTAGGGAAATAGCTTGGTATTTTCTTATGTAGATAAATATACACATTCCTTTTGATTTAGCAATTCCTTTCCTTGGTGTTTACCAAGAAAAACAATAACACAGGTCCATATAAAGACTTGTACATGAAAGGTCATAACAGTGCGAGTCTTGAAATGGCTTGAATGCCCATCAACCGGCACAATAAATTGTGTTATTTCCATATACAGTAATAGAATATTGTTCTGCAATAAAAGTGAATGAATTATTAATACACGTGGCAATATGGGTGAATCTCAGAAAGCACTGAAAAGAAGTCAGGCACAAAAGAAGGTAGTATATGATTTCATTTTTATGAAATTCCAGGAAATCAGGACGAACGTAGAATGATGAACAACAGATCCACGGCTGCTTCAGCAGGATAGGGCCTGGGATATTGACTTGCCAAGAGGTAAATGTGTATGGCCAGGGGGCAAAAGATGTACAAGCTGTACATCTCTATATAAGTACATGTACACTCATTTTAAAGCTCCAGAAAAATACACCCAGAAGTACAAAACAGTAGTATTTCAAGGGCCACAAAGTAGGTAACGACTAGGAAGCCCAGGGACGGGTCAACCAGAACAAACAGTGTGAGGCTGGAACAGGCAGGGGCAGGCCGTAGCAATGGGTGGGTGTCAGCCCCCAAGACCCGACATGCTCGGCGGGTAGTAGGGTACTGATGTCCTCTTTCTTCTTTTTGCTTATCTGTATTTTCTCATTTTCTGTACCAATCAGTTACTTTAAAATAAGAAAAAATCTATTTTAATTATGAAAAAGAATGGTATGCTGTTGATGCTACATTCCCTACTGTTATAAAATTCGAATGGATCTCAAAACCCTAATGGAACTTTTAAATAATAGATTTGAGAAATGGTATACTAAAGCAGCATTGGATTAGAAGTTAAAAATGGATAATGCTATAAAAATATTTTCCATCTACTACAATGAAAATGATGAGCTATATTTTAAGTTATTTTACAGTTTTAATATTTAAAATGCCCTCCCTTTGCTTCTATCCCAAGTAGATCTCTACAAGACGGATCATGTTGAAGGAATAGTCACTTTTTGCAAATTGCTCTGCCCCTGAAACGCCATCCCACTCACACTGCGTTTTTGGAGTATTTTCCCGTGGGCATCAAGTTTTCCTAGGTCAAGCTTCAGATTCTGCCTGAGCAAGCTGGGAAATCCGAGGACAATTATCAGCCCGGGATGACATTTTACAGCACAAGGACCGGCATGGCCAGAAACGCTGCTGTCTCCTCCTCCCCAGCTGCCCTCGTCTCCGTGGCTCCTCACAGTCGCAGACCTTTGCTCCCAGCGATTCTTCAGAGGGAAGCGTGATAAAAACCGGGCTCTGAGCACAGACGACCAGCAAACCATGACCAGGGAGTCTCCTTTATCGGATTCTCTCTTTCAATAGAGACCCCGCACCAGCTCCCCCTCAGCCCAGATGGGAGTCAACGAGTGGCTTAGCAACAGGACTGCACTTGGAAGCCCCCAGTGTAAAATTATGCTCCTGTGTAATCTCCTAAAGGCGCTGTAAAGCCCACGTTTGTGATTTGAGAAGCACCTCAGCCCGCAGGAGCTCACAGTCATCTCTAACGATCTGCAGATCTTTACCAGCTTCTTTCTGTGCAGCAGCTGGATGGAAATGAGGGGACAAGGGGTGCTTTACCATGCTGGGCTGCTGGGGTGTGCTACCAAGAGGGGGTAGCAGGGCTGCTCCTTTCCTAGCCTTCATGCCCTGCTCCTGTCAGGGACCAGGTCAGCAATGGGGCCCAAATGCCCTGCCCCAGCCATGAGGAGAAGGGAGGGGGGTCAGCAGGGGCCACAGGGCCTTTGGTCTGATTACATGAAGACCCACAACACTGACTTCCACAGGTGAAGGGTCACCTTGTCCCCAGAGTAGAATTATAAGAAATAGACTGATGCTTTTATAAGACACACAGAGTACACGATACTCAGTCATAAATTACCAAGATCTAGCTTCCCCAGGACATTTGAGAGTCATCCACCTCCAGATGGGATCACAATCACCTTTAAAATCAGGGCATTATGACGCAACTTCCTTCTGTGATTCCAGCCCATTCGCATGTCTGATGTAGTAAGAACGAGGCACTGTGTGGCTCCCATTGCTCTAACTCATCCAGTCTTCCAAACAGTTCGCTGTAATAAATTGGACTCTGAACCCAGCTGTTGTCTCCAAGACTTCGCTCCCCAGAGAGAGCAGGAATAGCAGCTTGGTTCTCCCGAAGGCAGCCTCTTGGGAAGCCCCTGCAGCACTCCAGACGGAAGTGGCTGGGCTGCTGTCAGAAGATCCCGACACAGGTGGGAAGTGTCCGGTGCTGCTCCTTCTGTCTAAACAATGACTGGCTCTGAGCAGAAATGGCCCCATCATGAGTCTCCAGGTTGAAAGAGCTCTTGGCAGAAGCTCCGGGGGCCTCGTGCAGCCTCCACACCTGGGCACAGTGTGCAGTGGGCTGACGGCTGCACCTCACCGTGGGGCCCCATGCTGCTTCTGCCTGTACAGTCCTCGTCCATGTCCGTCTGAGAGAGCAGCAGAGGAGGACACTGCCCACCTCTCTCGGCCCTGGCCCGTAACCACTTCCCCGCAGCAGCCAGCGCTGTGATCTCTCTGTCCGTGGGCTGGCTACCACACTGGCTGTGCTTGAAGGCGGGGGAGCCCAAGGGCTGCCCCAGTGCAGGCCCTGGTGGGGAGGACTCTGAGCTGCGATCCCCTTAGCTCCTGGCTTTGTGTCCCACCCTGGTTTGGCCTCCTCCCGTCTGTACCACTTCTGCTCTCTTACTGGCTTTCCTGAGGTCCCTTCACAGGCGATCACTTGCATCTTTGGTCTGCTTCTGGAGACCTCTCTCAGGCCTCGCTCTACCTGAGAAAGGGTGCTGGCCTTGGCGGGCTGAAGGGGCCGCTGGACACCCAGGAAGACACCCCTGGGTCCTGCCTCCCAGGATCATTTGAACAGACATCTAGGCCCACCGGCATCTCTGGGCATCACACTGGGAATCGTGGCTCCTTCGCACAAATGGAACGTTCTACTGAGCCATTTATGTTGCTCATTTGGTGCTGAGCTACCTATGCCTTGATAATTTAATAAAAACTACAGCAGTCAAGTTGTTGTGAGAGAGATGGCCAGAGGGTCCTCACACAATGGTACTGAACGCACAGCTCTTCACGAGGATACTGGGCACCGACGCATAGACAACTGTGGCTACAGTCAAGAGAAAACGTGATGCAGTCAATGGCTCCGAATGCTGGGGGGGATCTGGGGCCGAAGGGCTTCACTGTGCAGAGTAATTCTGCTCTCAACAGTGGGGTCCACAGAGGATGCCAGCCCAGCCCCTCCACTGACGGTCCTGGTCCCCCAAGTCAAGTCTTTACATTAAACATTTCTCACAGTGATTCCAAGCTTTGCTAAAGCAAAGGCCAAACTCGCTCAATGGTTCTGTCTTATTTTTTACAAGAAGATGTTTATTGGTATATCTCCTTGGAATAGATTTTCCTACCCCGGGCCTGAAAAGACATTCCACACCAAATTCATTCTCAAACAGTTTACTCTTGAGAGTTTGTCCTTCTTTCTTATCTCATGCAATGACTTGTTAATGAGGAATAACTAAAATGGATTCTTATTAGTAAGATGAGAAGAGATACATTTAATTTCAAAAATACTTTAAAATATAAAACCTTCAAGTACATAAATAGCTGTAATAGAGAAATGAAGGTCCCAAGCTCACATCCGGTGCATTTCAAATCACTGGATGTAGTTGTAACAAAAAATGAGTAGGCCTAATTGAACAGACCGGATTATAATCTGCTCATGTCCATGTGGTCCAGGCAAAACAGCATTCCCCCATGTGTACATGAGTATGTTAGTTCTGCATTCCTTCCCATCCTGGAACCTGGCCACCTGATTTTCCTAGATATTTATGATCCAAGGGTTATAAAAGAGTTTCATCAAAAATGTTCCCATGCAAATTTCCTCTCGTAAGCTGTTCAATTGGACCTAGCCAGAAGCTTGTAGTTAGGACTTCACCTTGGTTGTCTTGCTGAGGGGAAATCCACCCCCAATAAAATGAGGGCCAGGAGGTTTGACGATCAAGAAGGTGTCATCTATGGGTAGTTTGTCTTTGTTCCTGTAAGAGAGGAGGCGAAAGTGAATATCTTTTTCCACATGTACTTTTATGTTCTGTAAGTTCCTAGAGTGAATTAGCCACTGAAAACAATTTTGATTAAAGCTTTTAGTTTTAGACAAGGTGGTTGTGTAAATGTAATTAGATGTTCGTTGATAACACAGAGTCAGGGAAAAACAATGTGCTTTCCTAATGTTGATCTAAATATGGACAGAAGACCTCAGCATGACTCAAACACAATGATTTGGAGGCTTCTGACTTGTAATCAACTTCTTGTTTTTAAAAAAATTGTTTAGTTCCAGGCATAAACCAGAACTTTCTGTTAGCTCAATTGTAGTGACTAACTCATCATTTATCGTCTGGCACCTTCCAAAGTTCAGGTTGAAACTTATAAATATTTACCACACATAATGTATCTCATCAAACTTGGACATTTACAAAATACAAAATTTCTCAGAACTCTAGACAATCACAGTTATACTAGAAATAGTTAAGTTAGAGAAAGAAAAATAAAATTGTTCTTGGCAACAGATAAAAAGAGTTCTTCCCTACAATTAACAGTGGATTTTCTATATGAATCTCCCTAAAATACATACAGAGACACATACCTATTCAAGTTTCTTCCAGAAGTAATTTAGATTTCCACAAGTTATCTATAGTGCAACAAGGGTCTTAGACAAAACACCAGTGGAATCCCCTTTAAGCAACAGTTAAACACACTGCTCAGTCCAAATCAATTAGATGAGACAATTATGAACGGTTTACACTAAGAGGTTGAATTCTGCCTTTTGACGAAGAATCTAGCCCAGAAAATTCTAGACCAGCCTGTAGGCCCAGGTGGCAGAGTCAGGAGTAGATGGGGTGGGGATGGGAACCAGAAAATGATGAAGAGGATGTGTAAAAAAAATGAGGGAAGTCAAAAAGTGAAAAAACGATATGAGCTGCTATTTTACAAAGGGCACGTGTGGGGCGAACATCCACAGTGTTCTAAATTATTCCATTTGGAAATAACCTCAGCGGATTGGTTAATCAAGCTGGCTATCTCCTCGCGGAATGGATTTCATTACTGTGAATAACCATCCTCCCTAAACAGGACAAAAGCTTAGCCTTGAGTGGACCAGCGAAGAGGATTCCCGCATGTTCTCTGGCAACTCATCCGGCTCCTGATTGGAGGTGCTCACCTCCCTTCCCCTGCGTGCCCTTGCCTTAAATAACCTAAATTTTCCTTTCTGAAGGAACTAAGCTTAATGCTTCTGGCTTGGTCTAAGCTGACTAATGGGAATACTGTCTCCTTTACATTATCGCTTTAATGTATTTATAGACCATTATAATGACTCCCTGCAGCCTTCTTGCTTCCGATCTAAACCATCTCAGCACTTTAGTTCTTGCCTGGGCATATTTTTCTCCAACACCTTCATCTCTTTTGCTGTGAACTCAGCTCTCTGTCTACCAGTTTATGTGCCCAGCCAGATGGAACCACCAATGAAACCTGGCCAGGTCACAATGGCTGCCCCTGATGAGCATTGAAGGACAAGAGGAGGACAGGTAAAGGTTCCAGAGCAGCACATCTCTCTGCAGGAGCGGAACAGAGCGCAGCCAGTGCCACTGAGGAACAGAACCTGAAATCTGCTTTTGCAGAAATGTATTTGAATTTAAATAGCCACAGTGGCATACCCTGGGCACCACGGTTCTGGATGGGCCAGCGAGGAGGGCTGGCTGAGCCCACAGAAGTGGCTCCTTATATGGTCCCTGTGTCCAGCAAAAGATGCAAATGATGCAATGCTCCGGAAGGTTGAAGGAGAGAGAGCCAAACCCCAGGGCCAAGGCAGGGAGCAGATTCACTCCAGGACAACAGTCGCTGTGTAGAGCGGCGTACACTGGGCCACTGGTTTCCACGTGGGGTGAGAGGTTCCACTGAGTGTAGAACAAGGGCGTGGGAGAGCCTATTAATGCTTTTATCTTTAAAAGTTAACAATGGCTTCTTACGAATAGTTACAAAATGACAGTAACGTAATTTACGCATTAAAGTATATGGACATAAATCTGAAACTATCCTAAAATAAAATTTTATCTAAAAGCTATGTACATATATGGTATGGACATGTAGTAGGGGAAGCTGTGAGAACTCTTCATTTATCAGAGTGTGTGGTCAAAGCTGGGAGACCAACAGCCTCTTGTGGGAATCGGCCACGTCGACATTTTCTACACACCCTAAAAGGAGAAGGAATCCATAGTGTTCCCTCTCCAATATTCATTTAATCCGCATCTTCAATCTCATGGTTTGCAGACTTCTGTGTGCAGGAAGATCCCCTGAGTGGCTCACTGAGTTATAGATTTTGGAGGCCACCCAGAGCCTGAGGGTCATGAAGGGCTGGAAATGGGGCCTGGGGACCTGGATGTTTAATAAACAGCACTAGAGATGCTAAATCAGATGTTGCTGCACCCACACATGAAGACTCATCTAAGTGATAGCCATATTTTCCTCTCCCAAGGTGGCATCTACATGGGAACACGGCGTGGGGGGTCCTGATTTACGAGAAGGGCAGTTTGTATCGGCAAGTGAATCTGCATCCGGTTACTTTATATGCCATGTGCCTCCATCAGATGGCAGTCTGATGCATTTGAACTCTACTTCCCATGTCCCTGGAACGTCCATGGAAATGAAATACCAAATATGACTGTCAACCCACAACGTAAGATGCTACCAAATTAAGGGGATGATTTTGGAAATGCCATGCAGTCAAACCAAGTTTCAGACCCACTGATTCATTTGGGTGTTCTGCCCTGGCCTAGGACCACGCACAGAACAACAGCAGAGTGAAGGGAAGTTTATCATCAACCCGCGGGCCCTGAAACTCCACATGTGATCTTCGTATTTGCATTATCATCTCCCAGAATGATGGCTCGTGGCAAAGTCTCCTGGCAGATTCTGCACCGCGTAGGAGCTGGAGATGACGGTTCAGAGTCAGTTTACCTACCGTACAGGTACTGCTCATAATTTCAGTGGTGCAGCTACTATTAGGGTGAACAGCCTGCCCCACAGCAGAAGTGCGTGTGGGTGTCATTGTAAATTTGTGAGGCTCGTTTCCAAACTACAGAAGAGCATGGGGGACTGCAGCAGGCTCCTTCTGTCCCAAGTTGGAGCCACCAGTGAGTCGCTGCTAGGGAACTCATGTTAGGGTCCTAAGGAAGGGCCTTGATATGGATGAGACACCGATCTGGCTCTGAGATGGATCCGTCAGTTACCTGTGGAGTGACATCAGGTCACCCCGAGACTTAGTTTACCCCAGGGAAGTTTGCTACTCCATGAGCATTCACCAAATATTTTCTTATGAGCAGGTAATGGGCACAACAAAATCAGGATATTTGACTGATCCTTACTTCTGAATGAGTTCTTTGCGTTTCTGAGCAAGGTATTTCTTCTTTACATTCATCAGTTCGTTGCCAAGTTTCTCAATCTCATACTTATATTCTTGACTCTGTGATTCATACATATTCAGTTCTGAAGACAAAACCTAACATGGCAGATAAAGCAGCTATTAGTGAAAGATACGGAGAGAAACAGCATCCTTCCCCCAAAATGTGTCAATCTACTGCCTGCTACCTCCCTGGGGCTAGAGGTCCATACCAATGGACAGTTCGACAGGTAACCTGCTTGTTTCCCAGACTCAAGGCCTGTTCTGAGCAGAACCCTGACCAAGACTTGTAACCAAGTGACAAAGGTAAATGGAACCTCGTTCTTCTGCTTAAAAAGAGAACTATCAGGCAAAGTCAAACAGCGAAGGTGAATGGTATAATGTGTTTTGAGGAATATTGTGAACAGAGACAGAAAAGCTCCTTGACATGCTTTCTAAAATTGCTTATACAATCTTTTAAAATGTACATTCAAGAAAAATACCACTAGGGAATGGGATTCATCTCAGGATTATGGTAAAAATTATTCTGAAGTCATTCTGCCACCACCATCAGCAGGCATTCAATTTCTGTGTTTGCCCTGATAGTTGCTCTGGTTGGAGCTATTCACCATCTGCCCTTTATCCCAGCATCAGGACACTTACCTCTGGGAAACAGGTGGCAGAGACATGTGCACGGGAGAGCCAGTGCAGGCAAGACGGGCAGTGACAAGAAGCCTGATCACCCAGCTCCCATGGTTGTATTCAGTGGGTGCCACTGGTCTTGGTCTGAACCAGAGCTGCACTTTACACACGCAAATGAAACATAAAGCACACCCAAGCTAGGGTGTGGGCCCTTCCACCTTGGTTGCCAGCACCAAGGTGAGGAAAGGCAGGCTGTTGTTCTGAGGGCTAGACTTGGGTTGCCTCTCGCTTGTTCCTTTACAGATTTGCATGAAAGGGACATCTTTGCTTTCTGAGTATTCATCTGCCTCTGAACACTTTCTTTATAATTGCTGCAAAAATTATTCGGACTACACTATCATAACCTAAAGATGGTGACTCTCACGTTGGAAGAAAACCTGTGTTACTACTAAGTGCTGGGAACAAGACTCTGTTTCCAATGAGAATGGGAAATTTCCTGAGTCCAGCTGGACGGAGCCTCTTTCTGCACAAGGTCATATTTCATCCTGAGCAAAAAACATGCCTTCCCAAGATAAAGAGTTAAACAACGTCTCCAGAGACTCCTGGGAGAGCCAACAGACATGTGCTTTCCCATCCCAACAAAATTAGAAAGTAAATTTTAAAATTTAGTCCGGAACATTCAATTGTCCCAGAGAACAAAAAATAAAAGCACATGCCCCGTGCAGAGCTCAAATTTAGTCTCAGTACACTCGCGTGAACCCAACGTCAGAGTAATTGAAAATTAATGTCTTAATTGGGTTTGCTTCATCTGTCCCTTTTGTGTAGAAGGGTTGGTGAGATGCTGTAAGGTGGCATTTCCTTCACCCCAGGCAGAAAGGCAGCAGCTGGGCAGGTGAGTGCCAGAAGCCAGGGATGCTCGCAACACTGCTCAGAACTTGCTTAGGGTTCCAAGAGCAGCGAGCGTTTGCTCAAAATACAGTGTGAGCTCACACTGATTTTAAGGACATGTCCAAAAGGAAGTCCTCTGAATCATCTGTGCGCGTCCACACGAACCTGGGCTCCCAGATTTCTGCCTCATCGCCTTCCTCCTCTCCCAGCTCTTTCTCCCCATGCCTGCAGCCTCCTCCTGGAAACGGAGGGTGTGCTATAGTAGACTGCCCTCTAGCAAGCTGCCCTAGTGGGCGTAAGCCGGCCCAGGTGTGCCGTGGGGCAGCAGAGGGCAGGGCGGCCTCACCTTCAGCTGCTTGGTCTTCTCCCGCAAGGTGTACCGATAGATCTGCAGCTGCTCTGCAGCCTCGGGGCCAGGCTGCCGCGCCAGGATGTGCTTCAGTTCCACGTACAGCTTCTCCTTCTCCTGTGCACAGCAGAACCCAGGAAGAGATTAGAGCCCCATCCAACCAAGACGGCACCTTTCATCCCTTGGCAGGGGTGGTCTGGGGCCATCCTGAGCGCTACAGCGCTCACTTGCTGACTACCACCCTCGCCGAGGGCCCGGGTGTGCCCAGCACTTGAGTCCACATAGGAAGACGGGTGACTACCAGACGGTTCCTTAATACCTGGACACGGCTGAGACAAAGGTGGCCTTGGAAGATCCCAGCCGAGGATGGCAGCCAATGAGAGCAGGAAGGGACTGCGCTGGGAGGAGTAAGGTTTCCCCAAGCAAAGAGAGAAAAGATGAGCTTTTCAGGCCAAAGTCCCACGATGGGACCGGAGCAGTACTGTGTGTTGGGCTCTGCAGGAGCAGAGTAGCGGGTGGGGAGAGTGGGGAGCAGATCCAGGCCTCGGATGGGAGCAGGCTCCTCAGGGCTGCACCCATCAGGCAACTGGGAGCCAGGGACAGGCTGGGTTATCTTCAGAGGGTCGGTCCGACCCAGAGCGCAGTGTAGGAGGAGGATGCCGACTGCCAGGCCCCTGCAGGCAGAAGACAAGCCGGCCAGGCCCCAGGCACCTAGGAGGGAAGGTGAATCACTGTGAAGGCATCACCAGGCAGCATCTGCAGGGCTCAGTGAGTGATCCAATGAGCGACGAAGGAAGGAGCAGGCACCAAGCGGAGTCCAAGTCTCCGATGTGGAACCCTGGGGTGGGACAGGGTGGGGCAGTGATGGAGACGGAGGAAAGAAGCTCAGGGGTCTTCGGGGCAGTGCTGCTGCTGCTCAGACTGCGAGGCTACCTGAACCTGGGTCCTGAGCGAATCTGGGAGAAGAGCTGAAAAATGTGGCCCTGTGTGGAGACGGACGTAAAGGACGAACTGAGGGAGAACGGCCAGATCCTTGGGCAGCTGTGTGGAAGACGGGGAGCGTTCCAGTGGTCCGCAGCTCAAAGGCAGGAAGGAAAAGCAAGGACTGAAAAGAGCTCCGGGTGAGGCTTTAGGACACGGTGGCTGACCCCACTCAGGCCACGGGGACATTTGGGAAGCAAAAGTCACACAAGTTGAAGAATAAATCAGTGGCGCATTCCCGTGACCCCAATACTTGAGAGGCTGGGGCTGGAGGATCACAAGTTTGAGGCCAACCTGGACTGCAGAGCAAGACTTCATCTCAAAAAGAAATCAGAAGGAAGGAAAGAAAGTGAGTCTTTTAAGAAATGTGGCAGGGTGGGAAGAAAAGAGACCTGGAAATGTTTTCCCCAGGATAATGAGGATGGCAAATTTGTAGGACTAAAAGAAAGGATTTCCTAGGAACCCAGAGCAGATCAGATTTCCATAACTTAAACAGTGAGTAATAGAGAATCCTCATTGGTATCCTAGAGTTTAATTGCTCATAATGTGTTCTCAGATCTTTGCCCCACAGATATGGCATATGAGCAAAGATTCATTTCTGAACCACTTCAGTCAGCTCTAGATTCCCATGTCTCTACTGTGCGATAATTTGAACACTGATAAACACTAGTGTGTCTACTCAGCCTCTGTACACACTTGCTTCCTTAAGTGCTAAAGAAAACACTATCGGTACAAGCTCTCTCATTACCTAAAATACCCAGTCAAATAGAAACCAATCCTGACCTAGAGCTACACAGTCCTGGCACTGTCATCAAATAATCTATTTTTGCCAGAGTACACAAAAGCCATTAAAAAATAGCTAAAATTCATTGTTGCCTCTTTTTTTTTCACTTTTCCCTTCCCCCGACCAAATTATAGAAACCTTGTTACCAAGCGTCTTTGCAATTTAAAGATTAGTTGGATGAAATAAGCCTCCAGAGAAATACACAAAAAGAATACTCTTGCCATGTAAGACATAATTCCAGAAATGACAAGGAAAGGCAAAAGCCCATGCTAAAGAAAACTTGAATAAATAGAATCACAAAGTGGTGATTTTCTTTTGCCATACACCTCTCCTGTCTTACCTTACAATATAATCTTCACAGTAAATGGAAGCGATGAAAACGATATCAGGGGTGAGTTTATTTTCTATAGCCACTTAACACTTGCTCTGTTGGAAAAATAACACTTCTGACAAGGCTTCAAGATTCAATTTGGAGAGGGTACAATGTACGTGGAGAAGCCCATGAAACGGTTTGTCCATTTCTTTCCTCTCACCTTCCTTTATTCCAGAATACGGGTAGACTCGATAAAGAGCCCCCACAATGATGAAGAGGAAGCCATCTAGTTTGGAATAGAAAATGGCTTAAACTGAAAAGACCGTCTTACTCCAAGAACCATGGAACATTTCACATAGGTAATTCTTTTCAATTGCTCCTGGCAGGTAAAAAGCAGAAAGATTGAGCAAATACTATTGCTTTGCTTCAGAGGTGAGAATGCCAAGGTCAGTGGAAATCGCCACATGTCCAGAGTCCTTCAGCAAGTCAAAAACCTAGTTGTCACATACCCAAGGGTCATTTCTCCCAAGCCGCACCTCTCCAGGCTTACAAGATGTGCTGTCACCTCAAAAAACTGACTCAAATTGAGCCACAAAATTCCTGAAGACCATGTGATAACGTCAATGTAAGAAGCAAGCCATCAATCCAACATGGCGATCTAGCATCAAACCCAGGCTGGAGGTAAAGGGTAAGAGGTAAACTCCTCATCTATGCCATCAGAACAACAGTGCCCACCTCTTCTAACAGGAAGTAGTTTCTGATAGAGGAGATGACGCTTCCCATCTTATTCCATCACTTACAATTTTTTAAAGGCTATACAGTGAGTATAGGTGGATGTGTTGTAAAGAAAAACTGAGCAACTGAATAGGGAGGGCCCCCAAGTATGGAGAAAAATGAAGAAACTGAATGAAATACACTTAAAACAGGATACTCAAACCCAAAGTGTGCTTAGAGTAGAATGACTCAGGAGAAGCAATGTGTGTGTGCTCAGGGTGGGTGGGAGGAACCTGGAATGAAGCCTCAGGAACTCAGCCTGGGCCGCACCAGAAGATGCAGCAATGGAGGGGAGTGGCTAGAACGCATCACTGGGCAGGGGCTGTGGTCTGCACTTTCAGCAGAAAGCAAACTGATAAAAATCAAAGTGAAGGCTGGTCTACATTAACGTGCTAGCTGTGTGTATCATATAAATTTGTATTTTGGGAGAAAGTGCTAGTAATTTAGATAATTATGGAGCATTTGATGGATCAAAGGTCTCACATATGATTATCTTCCAATTTCTTTCTCTCCTAACCCTGTACAAGGGCCAACCAAGCTCTTCCAACACTGTGCAATGGTGTGTATAATGACCCCACTTAGAGACAAAGCATGCCATTCTGCTATAAAGAGAATCTATCTTATGCAATAGAGACTCATTAGCTGTCCAATGTATATTGTCTCCACAGGCCAGCAGCGGCAGAAGCAGCTGCCTTGTAACACATACCCTGTCCTTCTTCATTAAGCCCCACCCATTTTTCTTTAGACCCACTCAATTAATTTGTCACTTGGTTAGAATCACCATATGTCAATGAAGCATCATAAGAAAATCATACTTTATTTGCTCAGCAAAAAAGACTGCATCTTCTGATTGGCATTTCGTTATTTATTCAGCGCACTCATGGTGCACATCAATATTGCTGTGTGGCACGCTTCAGTCTTTCAATTATCTTATGAACAGCTATCCTGGAGTAAAGCTCGACTATTCACACCAAGAGATTAGCTTTCTCTGCGGCTGAGCATGTCTGGAGAGCACTAACGGTAGGGTGCCCATCTTTGAAATAATATTCTCTTCCTGACTTTCCCTTCCCTCCATTGGACAGACTGTCAGACATGTATGCTTATGGATTCTTTGGCAGCAGGAGTCTGCCAAGCTATGCTGGAAAACAGCACATCTTATTGTCAATATCTGCTGAGTACAGTGGGAAGAAATTAACTCTAGCATTAGCTTCAAATAATGCTGTCGGTATTGGTGACAGTCCGTAATTCCAATCGGAAACTCCCGAAACAGAATCACTCAGACTTCACAAATTTGTATTTTACCTGACAATAAATTAAAAGTCTACATTTTGAACAATGTATGCAAATAAGAACCCGCGCTGTGCTGGGAACAATTCAGAGGAAAAAACTGAGTTGCTCACAGAACTCCTTTCCCTCCCAAGCTACAGTTTTATGATCACTGTCCGTTTCTACTCTCCCTCTTTTGCTTTGTGTCTTCGGAGAAGCCAGAAGGTAGTTCACATTCAGTGTGCACACCAGTACCCCTTCTTCCTTGGCTTGCCTACTCAGAGCAATAACTGACTGAGAGGAACTAATTTATTCTGTTTTCATCTGATTCTGTTTGGCAAATGCCAGTGCATTGATTTTGCTCACCCTGGAGTCATCAACTCGCTTGGGCAAGAGTTTGGAATAATTGCCTGGTCCCTTGAAACAGCTGACTCATGAGAAATGAACAGCTTTCCTCCTGACCAGAGATGCAATTAACCACCACCCACCAGAGCAAAAGCCACCCATTCCGATGACTGAGGAGCGGGTGCTCCTCAGAAAGACACACGGAAAGTCACCTCGACCTCATCCAGCGGACTCAAAAGAAGGCTGATCTAGAGATAAAGACCCTATGATCACTCCTTCTAAGACACACCTCACAGAACATGCAGAAAAGCCCTTTTTTAGAAGATCAAAAGACATCATCAGTGGTCCTGCCTGCTTGTAGGGTTTGATCATTATGAATCCATTCTTCAGCTCCAGTTGAATTATGAGCCCTAGAAGTCAAAGCCATGATGACGGACCCCCTCCTTGGATATATACATGAGATGTGAATATATATGTATGTATGGCTGAAG